CGTTGAACTTACCCAAAAGGCCGAAAGTTGCCTAACGTGAACGTGACTTTCTTCTACGTGATAATTTATCAGCTACCAATGTTGATAAATAGATTTGTAACATCTTTCTTCGATGCACAATAGTCTAAGAATAAGTCCTGAACAATCAGGGGGACAACGTTTAAGAAGAGGAGCGTCTGAGCGTATTGATTCGAAAATCGGTAATCTGAAGGAAATGGGAGCAAATGCATTTTGGCTTCGAAGAGATTTCGTGCGATTTGATGCGAGGAGGGGACAATGGTTTGGGGATTCACTGGCGGTTTGAACAAGGCTCCTCCTCGAAAGAGGAAATCCGCGAAGATTGGTTTTAAAATTCATGATCAGATGAGAGGTAAACGTTGCACGTTTAATATTGAGGGAAAGCGTCGTAAGAGGCTGACGAACCATAGATAAGATAAGAAAAATATTTTTCCAAATTAATTCGGAAGAAATCAAGCCTCGAGTCGGCAATGCGATTACAAAATGAAGCGACGAAAGGCTTCAGTATTTTAATGTTCCCTTTATCTTTAGAAGTCTTATATCTTCTTTAGAAATCTTATATAAATACGTACTTTCTTCGTTACAAGAGATAACAACATAAGAGGTATTTCCTTCGTTACAAAAGATAATGATATCAGATTCTTTCGAGCTTACCTAATTGACAAACTCACAGTCAGATGGTATTTTGGAAAATTTACATCTGCAGTACGTAGCAATAAACGGTTTATTTTATTAGAGAACTAACGGTTCTAATCGATCATTCACGTTTTGACAACAAATTTAACTAATTTATTAATTTTTTGTAGAAATCGATAGTCGGTCTAATCTTCAAGATTATCCGCTGTCATCGCATATCTAATCGTGCGCCAAAAAGTCCTACGATATTTCAAATATGCATCTTCACCTTATGACCACGTACGACCCAGAGTGAATAAAAAATATTAGTTCTAACTCTCCATCGATTCATCTGAATTTTCCACAAAGCTTCCACACTCGTTTCGCACAACTTCCTATTATTGTAAGCTCCTATAAATTCAAAGAGTTATCATTCCGAGAGAGTATCCTTCTCGTATCAGAAACAGAGAAACGCATTCAATGCATACAGAAGTCTAATATTACGGGAGAAGAACGGGACACGTACAGGTGGCAATAATAGCGGGAATTTCGTATTATCGACTGCGGTCCCCAATAATCGATTCGGCATGGAAGAATCGCGCGTCTCTGCCTTTATCGGTGGCGGCGCGCCGCTGTGCATCTCTCCTCATGCATCGCAATGTATTGCCGCACTGCATTACGCAATGTGTCACAGTCAGGTCATGCGGGTCAACACGGCGAAGGAACACCGTTTCCAAGTTACCAAAGCGTTCGAACTTCCCGGCAAATTGGCTCGCAACCGCGGTGAACGCGCCGCCGCGTGAATAATAATTATACCCACCTCCGTGAAATTTAATCTCCGCGTTCTTTGTCGAATATTTGATTCATCGATCGGACTAACAGACAGGCTTGTCTGTCGAATAAATTTCTCCATGTGCGGCAAGCAGAAGTACTGCACTGGACGGTTGCGTGTTGATTATTATTGCAATTTCAAACAGTGGCTCACAGAAGTATTCGAACATTTACCGTGTTTGGCCGTCTCGTGATTGTATTGGTTAAATTTGGAACCAATCTGGAAATGTACACAAGAGTTACAAGAAATTTATTGCAAGTGTACACTAGTGTACAGCATTGGATACCTCGGGCATATAAAAAGTACGAAATGTAGTTGTTAATGTAAAAAATTGGCTCATTTCATAATTTCTATATATATTTTTACTAGTTCAAAAACTAATTACTTAGTAGTTGAAGCCCACTGCGATATTAATGGCATTTCAAGATGTTTTATTGCAAACAATATGTTCATAAAATGTTCTCCCGTGAGCTACTGCTAGATTTTTTTTAATCACTTTATATTCTCAATAAATATTATCTTTTAATTTGAAGGTCTAGAATATTTCCTCAAATTTCTATCTAAAGCATTAAATTCGACAAGGCTCGTGTACGTTAAAAGCCTCTCGATTTATGTCCCTAGTGTTTTTAAGCCGTGTATAAAACAAGCGTGAGTTTTTATCTGAAAAACTCCGGAAATCCGGAATACCTGCGACTGAACGCACGAGACAGAAGACTGCGGAATTACGAGCTGTCCTTCATCAGAAGAGAACGCAAGACACGGACATTTTTACACGCGTGTTTCCCAAACAATGCTAAAACCCGTATAACTGTCTCCTCTGATGGACATTATATTTAACGAGAAAGAAAGAGGACTTCTTTTTATTCTTTTGAAAACGTTACAATTATGATTTCTTACGAAACAATGTTACAAGGAATAGGAAATCGATTTCATATTTTCTAATAAACAAAGAACTTACTAAAAAATAATAATTAAAAGGTCCTGATAGTGAAAATAATCTCTGAATTTCAATAATTAGAATGTGATAAATATTATGTTATGTTTTTTTAGACTAGCTCGGTATGAATTAAAAGATAATATGTCCCAAACGATAGATCTCCAACAGATCCACCCTACTTGTTGCCTATGATCGTCGAAAATTAAGAAATTCTTGGGTATTTTGTACAATCCGATCGAAACTCAATCCCTTTAATTGCTGCTTTAGCCAATAACGAAAGACGGAAAAGAGATACCGTGGGAAAAACTTTCTTCGGAAAGTTCGCAGACAGATCCACGATCGCGCTTAACAGCGGCGGAACTTTTACATTCGTAGCTTCTTCGAACAGTTGGAAATAAATCCACGGATAGATGCACGACCCGAGCAAAAACCTTAACTTCCCTGAAATCGTTGAAAGCACTCGCCCCGAACTCGAATTTACAAAGAGATTCATGATTCTTTCAAGGTTACCAAGCAACAGGGCCACGCCGTTACTTCCCAGAGAAATCCACGATAAACAAACGTGGAGAAATGTTTAAGAAATTGAAACGGAACGAGAATTTTAATTTCTCATGATAACTTTCATAATAATTCGAACGTATGGAGTTAACTGGGATTACTATCGTAATTTCTCTTTTTTTTTTTTTTTTTTTTTTGGTCGAGGTACTCAGTTTTGATATAATAGTATTATGCGATATATAAAGAAAAGGATGAATACATGCAAGCTTTTTCCACGAGAAGCTTGTTTTACGTAGCAACAACGGCTAAACGATAAAATACACAACAAGCTGGCAAGAAAAATAATCTACCTTCGCAAGCTTTTTCGCAAGGTGCTTTCAGAAATTCTGCGTACAGTAAATACTCGAGAGAAGTTCTAAATTTTTAAAATCCCATTTTTCTAAATACGTACGATGATTTTTCGTGATCTTTCACCCCTAGTATGTAATGGATCCACTTTAGATTTCATAGCGAGGAACTATCGTCTCTGTATAATTAGACTTGAATAATTTCTGTATTCGAAGAGACACTAGGGGTTCCTGAGATTATGGAAATGATCATTTAAGAGTCTTCTCTGAGACACATGACGGTACGTAATGAGAATTGCACGAATAATCGTGCGAATAGAACCGAGGCGAATATTTTTCGCGAATAGACATGGAACATTTGTTATAAAAATTGTTTGATCGATTATTTTGTTTACATGTTCCCTCGCGCGAATATCGTATTGCACAGTCGACAAATGTACAATTTATTAGTGTCGTAAAATAATATGTTTTAGCTGATGTCACAATATAGTGTAATAGTTTAGTATTACCATATTTTTTTTTTTTTTTTTTTTTTTTTTTGGTATAGAATTCTATAAAACTATGATGTGTTATTTGATACCTACATTAATCGATCATTTTGCGAGAGAGAAATTAATTGATATAAATGATTACATCGGCCGGGAAAATTTAATAAAAATTAAAAAATAAAATTCAAATACTTTTTCGATTTGTTTTAACATGCAGATAACGTAACAAAATATGATTCTGTAATCTAAACTCTCACATCACATTTTTATATCAACCTTTATTCATACTATTTTTTCATGTACAAACTTGGATGGAAAAGATGAATAACGCTATATTTCCACCTTTATTTGCATAAGTTTCGCTAAATTTTATATCGAAAACATATGAAGTAGTATGCTTGAATTTTTCATACTTTATTATCGATTATTTGAAATACACTTTTAGTTCGAGTAATGAAAACAGTCAATATTTATTGTATTATCTTACTATAAAGTACATAATTTATTGTATTTTACTTAATTCAAATTAATAGTAATTTTCAAATTAATTCTTAACTGTAGAATATCTGAACTTATATTTCATAATGTAACTAATAACGTAATCGTTGTATTAATAGCAGAATGTAATTCCAAATATCAATTTCATTTGCTTAAACGTTAATCCTTAATCCGATGCAAAAAGAAATATTATAGACAAGTAATATTTTCGTCCCGTACATTCAAGCAGACGTTTCATATGTTACAATTCATATAAAGTTACATCTTGTATGTTATAATTCTTATACTGTCGACGAATCTTTCTTTTGGTTTTCGACAAACAATTAAAATGAAAATAGAAATCCGAATTTTGTGAAAGAACTGGGAAAAAATAAAGAGAGAAACTAAATATGTACTACCGTTCATAAATTTGAAGTTATAGAAATATTACAGAAAAAAAAGTCAATTTTGTAAGTTAACAAAATGTTACTCGATCGTGTATTAATATTAAAAAATTTAATTACATTGTCAAATCACTAATGAGATAGCAAACAAGAGTTACATACTAATCTTCTTTGAATTTTTTGAAAGTTCTTTTATTGAAATGAAGTTTTGTTTGTAACATTACACTTTACTTTTATATTTCAACTATTATGATAAATGAAAATATATATATTTTAAGTCAAAATTATATTTTGACTTAAACAATTAAATTATCTTTGATAAAGTTCGAATATGAGGGATGACAAAACGACAACTCCAACTTTACAAACGGTAACATACACCAATGCCGAAATGCATTCAACATAGAAGAATTCCTCTGATTGTTTTTACAGAAACGAAAATGCCTACCGTTACGTTGATTAAAAATTCACGTTGTCCAGTTCGCGTACAAGCCTGAGAATGATCTCCAACGTGGAAGTGTCACTGTGCCACTTAGCCGATGAGGCATTAGGATCGACCGAATGTGGCGTCTTGAGATGCAATCGATATCTAGAAAATCATGACTGGCTCTCAGATTTATGGACTCATAAAATTGTCAAAGAAATTCCCGACTGGAAGTCAAAGGAATGAAAGTTCGTAAGGGATTGCCTGATAAATCGCCGGATTTCTCTCTCACCTTGGACTCCGTACGTCGATCGCCTCAGTTTCCACAGACAGCTCGATTTTCTCGCGCGCTTCCTGCGGCATCCTCACCAACACGGATAACCACTCGCAGGACGCCGTCCCTGGAGTTTTGAATCCCATCTGATTTCCAACAGGAAAATGTGAATTAGCTCTTCATTTTGATAAATATATATTTGCTTGCAATGAAAAGGTGAACATTCTTATTTTAAATTCTGTTATTAAGAAATGTATTAAATTTTTTTCTTTAAAGAGCTACTTCAATGTGGCATATTTCTTGCAAAACAAACAAATAACGAGAAAATCAGAGAATACTTCAGAAACTACTTAATTGCAAGTAATATAGGAAAAAATGATTGATATCGGGAAAACCGCGCAATTCGCTAGAAGCAAAATTGCATTACGGGTCATTTAATTCAATGTAAACCTCGTTATTAGTAATTACAATAGAATTATATGTAATATGGATGAGACAAGGAAAAATTGACTGAAAATATTCCATCGGCTGTTTCATGTTATAATAAACATGAGATAAGCTTTCATATACACATAATATTGTACGAGGAAATTACATCAGAAATCTCTCTATAGAAGAAATAAAAATAATTACTTGCATCTAACATCATCAATTCTTTGCTTATAATAACCTATATAAATTGTGTTTTATATATATATATATATATATATATATATATATATATATATATATATATATAAAATTGTGTTATATAACACACAATTTGTTATAATAATTTATAATAACGAATGATTAATCAATCAAAAAATTCGTACTGCGAACATGTTTGCAAAGTAATCAAATTTGAAAGCGATTTATTGTACATGTCAATGCGACACTAACACCCAAAAAAACATCTTCCGCCGTCACTGCCTGCTTAAATTTCATCTCATATTCCGGAACTTTTCTCGGATCGTAGACTTCCGTATTCTCCGACACGGCTGCTTCAGACGGATGCCAAATATCATCGCCTTCCGCTTTCAGCGGTGCATGTGGACCCAAATGGTCTTGAGATTTCCCATTTTCAGTACCGATATCACCAGGTCCTTAAAAGCATTTATTTTACACATCGTCCATACTGCTGCAAGAACTACTTTACTATGACTAAATGAGTAAATCCCACTGTGCGAGATCGCCCGCCATTTTGTCTAAGTAATTTTCAAATAAAAATACGTTAACACGCATACATACACGTATACATAATAGTAATAATATTGTCAATTTTAAATCATTCTCGATATTACTTCTACAATAAAGTAATTCCTTCAGAAGAAGGAAGCCTTTCTATTGTATGCATACATCAAATATCGAACAAGTGTGGGAGAAAGCAATTACACCCTGAAAACTTTTTAACTCTTACCAAGTTTTCGGGCACCAGCCTGTGGTAAATCATCCTCGGAATCTGAATCGTTTTTCGTAGGATTGATTAATTCCTCCAATGCTTTCAGCTCGTGATAACCAAAACAGCCGTCCATTTTTTTTAAATTAAATGCAAGCGTTCTTCAAATTGAGATTAGATACAACCGACTGATATTAAACGCACGATCAACAAATATGGTTGTCAAAGTAACATATTTCAAATATTGCATTGTAAACGGCAATAATATTGAAAGAAGATTTCTATTCACATTTATGTTTACTTGAAATATACAGTTAGAATAGCGAAATACGATCTTTAAAATAAATTATGTTAAACGAAAGGAAAATATATTGAAAATTAAAAATCACGCGCGGAATGGAAAATATAAAACGATCGTTTGGCAGTTGAATACCTTACAGGTTTACCAACCGTAGTAAGTGAGAATCTTTTTTTAAGTATACCAACATGGCTGACAATATGGGAGAAAAATTATCAAAAAAGTGAGTAAAATAATAGTACTAACAGAAAATTGGATTCCCAAACTTTTTATTTTATATCTATAGAATAGCTTTTATTATTTATACTGACAATTTAAACATAACCTATATGGAACAGCAATAAATGATATATTCTGTCTCACCACGTTGTTTTACGGATGTTTAATTGTTTATACTAATATAACATTTTTAAACAATAAATAATAATATTTTTTAAATATTCGCAAATATATTTATTGTGTATATATATATATATATGTACATACAAACGTAATAGCAACAATAATTTTAATTAACTATGCTATATAACATAACCAAAGTTTTTGTTGATGTGGTATTGCCGGTAATTTACAAAACAAAAACAACAAAATTACATCAGATACCTATACGTCATTTTCATACAGAGTGCGTATATCTTAAAGAAGATCACATTCCCTAATATGAGAAGTAGAATCTTTGAGTCGCATGTCTTTAAATCTGATTACAGTGAAATAAAAAGACGCCTAAAAGCTGATCAGAAATTAAAAGAGAAAGCTGAGAAAGAAGCAAAAGCATTAACTCAAGTAACAACAAAAGATCAGACAGAAGCTGAGGAAAAAAAGGAAAACAAAGAAGAGGATATCAGTCCAAATGTAAGGATATATATCACTGTAATATTGAGAATCTTATTAATTAAATATATATTTAAATATATAGAATTATGTTATTGTTGTATTTATATCAGATAATGATTTTCAGGAGTACAATAAACTTAGGACTCAAGCAGTCAAGCATCTCAAAGATACAAATGATAATCCATATCCACATAAGTTTCACGTATCAATTTCATTGGAAAACTTTATTGAAAAATTCAGTAATAATTTGAAACCTGGAGAAATATTAAACAATGAAGTACATAGTGTAGCTGGCCGTGTACATGCAATTAGAGGATCAGGTGCTAAATTAATTTTTTATGACCTCAGAGGTGAAGGTGTTAAGATTCAAGTTATGGCAAATGCAAGACAATATAAAGATCAAGAAAAATTTGCCGGCGATACATCTAAGATAAAAAGAGGCGATATTATTGGTGTACTTGGAAATCCTGGAAAAACTAAAAAGGGTGAATTTTCTATTATACCACATAGTATTACTCTTTTGAGTCCTTGCCTACATATGCTGCCAAATCTCTACTTTGGATTAAAAGATAAGGTACAAAAAACTGAAACTCCTATTCTGTTATATATGTTATGTAAAATAATAACAATTATACTATCTTGCTAATTTAGGAAACAAGATTTCGTCAGCGTTATTTAGATCTTATATTAAATAATAAAGTAAGAAAAACGTTTGAAATACGAGCGAAAATAGTCGCATATGTTCGCCAATTTCTCGATGAACTTGGATTTTTAGAAGTTGAAACGCCAATGATGAATGTGATTCCTGGTGGTGCAACAGCTAAACCTTTCGTTACACATCATAATGAATTAAATATGAACTTATACATGCGCGTTGCTCCAGAATTATATCATAAAGTAAGAATTATTTTACCAGATTCATAAATGATTATTGTTTCTGAATTATATATTAATACAACACTGTTATATAATTATAGATGTTGGTAATAGGTGGATTGGATAGAGTATATGAAATTGGAAGACAGTTCAGGAATGAAGGAATAGATCTGACACATAATCCAGAATTTACTACTTGTGAATTTTACATGGCCTATGCAGATTATAATGATTTGATATCTATTACAGAAGATATGGTCTCAGGAATGGTAAAAACTATTTATGGTAGTTATAAAATAACATATCACCCAGATGGTCCAGAGGGTGAAGCAGTAGAAATTGACTTTACTCCACCATTTAAACGAATTTCAATGATAAAAACTTTAGAAGAAATTTTAAAAATTAAATTAACTCCATCAGATTTAAGTACCCCAGAAACAAATCAAGTACTTAGTGATCTGTGTACCAAATATGAGATTGAATGTCCGCCACCAAAAACAACAGCTAGATTACTAGATAAGGTAATATGATTTTTAAATTTAAGGATTCTTTGTTATTACATATATCTCTTAAGAAATCTTTAACAGCTGGTTGGAGAATTTATAGAAGAAAATTGTATCAATCCTACATTCATTTTGGATCATCCACAAATTATGTCTCCACTAGCAAAATGGCATCGCTCTGAACCGGGATTAACAGAGCGATTTGAATTATTTATTATGAAAAAAGAAGTTTGCAATGCATATACAGAACTGAATGATCCTGTAATACAAAGAGAAAGGTAATTCACCTAGTATATTAGTATCGAAGTTGGAATATGATTTTAAAGATTTGTTGTTTAATATCATAAACATATAGATTTGAGGAACAAGCAAAGGATAAAGCAGCTGGAGACGAAGAAGCTCAGGTCGTTGATGAAAATTACTGTACCGCATTGGAATATGGTTTACCACCAACTGCTGGTTGGGGAATGGGTATTGATCGTGTTACAATGTTACTTACAGATTCAAATAATATCAAAGTAAGTTATAATAATAAAACAATAGAATATCATTAAAAATATAATAATGATAATATATTTTAGGAAGTACTGCTATTTCCGCAAATGAAACCAGATAATCCAAATAAAAACCAAGGAATATCTGACGATGATAAAACATTAAATGATAATGTAAATCATGTGGAAAAATGAAAATTTACTACTGTTACTTTCTATTCTTTCGCAGTACTGAAGAATAAACAAATTATGCTTTCAAAAACAAATAATTTTAATAGTTCATCATTTTTATTCCACATTTTATGTATATTACTTACTATTAAAATAGTACAAAACTATAAGAACACATGACAAAAGTATTAGCATATATTCACACATACACACAATCTTAATATTTCTATTGCAATAATATCGCCTTAACATTTATTTAATTTTCATCATAAATTAAATTTTTGTTACAAAAAACATAAATTATGTTTAAATAGGTATTTACATTAAAACTTGGGAGCAAGCAAGCACTGAACAGTAATATGTACTTGCAATTTGCTGGCAGCTTCTTTATATTGTCAAATATTTAAGTAATAAATAAATAAAATTTTTATAATAGTGCAATAATCATTTACAAAAAAACTATAAAGGAAGACCTATTAACTTTTGTTATCTTAGATTACACTTATTACTTAACAAAAGTTACAGACTTTTAAGTATATGTTAGTTAAAGTTGCCAGAGAAACGTTGAATTATTAATTTAAAATTGATATGTTTCCTGGACACTTATACTGTGGCAGCTTTTTATGTATTTTACGGTAAAAAGTATTACGAAACATGCGTAGCTTCTCTTTTATAGATATTAGCCAGATATAAGATCCATCTCTATCAGCTTTCTTCTTCTTGAACATATTTTGTAACAGAATTATAATGAGCACCTAATTCATACATATGACGATGATAAGTCAATATCATTTTTTTATCATTATTATAATTATCACCAATAATATATGGTGCACCTGATGCCTGAATGACTTCTATTGGACATTTCAATACATGCGAAAGAACCTGTAGCTATTTGAAACAAAAATAATTTTAGAAATACATTTTTCAAAACAGCATATATATATTTCTTTAATTTATTTTAACTTACCTCAATAGCTCCACCCCAGGCACTTGTATCTGCCACATCATCACAATATTTCTCATATTGTTCTGGTGAGAGAAGATCGTCAGAATCTGGATTAGAAATAAATGGTAAAAATTCATTCATGTTTTCTCTCAAATATACAGCAGTTTTTGTTCTAAGTTCATGAAAATTCAATGGAGTTTCTCCTATAATTTTTAGCTGATGTGCAACAGCATTATATAAACTGTAAAAATTAATATGGTAATAGCATAAATAAAATAAAAAAATATATAATTAATAGCTATTAATAAATTTCTCTAAACAGTGTAAACAAATAATTTACCAATGACCATCACTTGGGATCTCATATATCATTAAACCACGGTCACAGAGTATTTTTTTAATAGTTTGCAATTCTATATTTCTTTTTCCAAAAACATTTAATGCCTCTTGCTCTATAATTCTCTGATTGCGTTCCTTTTCTGCAATTGCTTTCTTGTCTCTTCTTTTCTGTGCTTTTGAAATTCTATGTATTGGCTGCTCATATTGTTTGTTATTTTTTGTGCTTTTATCATTGCTATTTTCTGCATCTTCATTTTCCACATTATTAATATTAAGATGCGAAACTTTCCATGTTATTAACTCTTCTTCTTGCTTTTTATCTAAAGTCTCTTCTAAGCGATTAATTTCCTCAGTCACTTCTTTTTTCTTTTTCTTATCACCTTTACAAATTGACTTTTTTAGCGTTTGTATTTGTGCTAAAATTTGAAATATAATAATTAAATAATTGTATATTTTAAAAAGTATCTATAAAATATAATATTAAATAATTACAATGTAATAAAATACCATTAATAAAACATTTCATATAAACACGATACTACAAATCATTTTATGTTAAAAAACGTATGATCGAGAAAAAAATATTTTGTAAACTAAAATTAAATTATCTTATCACCTTGCAATTCTCTCCGTTCCTTTTTATGTTTTTGTGTCAATTCTTCTTCGGTTAATTCTAATTCTGCCATTTTTTAAATTTAGGGGTTATTTAAAAACTATACTATTTTAAGGTTAAGGGGTAAAGTGCCGACATGATAATAATGTATAATAGCATTTTCATGAATCAATTTCTGCTTTTGATATGATATCTTGTATTTTCAACTTAAAGTAAATATTTGAAAAATTATTTAATATTTAATCTGTTTATCTTCTTTTTAAATTTGTAAATTTATTGTTAAATAAAAAATTAATTATTTTAAAATTTAACATTCAGTAGTTAATTAAAATTAAACAATTTATAATTTATAATTTTTCTTGATAATTTTATAAATTTTTTAAAATATTAAATTAAATATATTAGTTAAACAATAATTATTTACATACAGTAATAAAGTCACTAGTCATTGTTTTCATGAAAACATGATTAAGCCATTTATTAATACCTTTAGGTTCTTAGGGTGAATACTGATATAATACAGGAGATTAACAGTACTCAGTATATTTGTTGGAAATAGAAAGAATGGAGCGTGGAGTATAAAAAAGTGTATATGTAGATTTAAAGGTGTTTCAAAATTCGAAAAATAGACTTTTACGTTAGCTATTGTGGTAAAAGAAAGTTTTAATTGCTTAGATTGTTGATTTAATTATTAAACATTAAAAATGGCAACAGATGAAAATTCTTGGAGAACACAAAGTTTTCGACAAAGTGTAATTGCAAAAATGTAAGTAAATTAATGTCAAAAAATTAAAATTTGAATATTACTTGTAATATATTTTTATTTTATTTTAATATTATTTTAATAGTGTATATTATCAAGAAATAAAAATATTTAATATTTTTGTAAAGAAAAAAATATATATATATTTGAATAAATAAAATGCATATTCTTATATTTGTTAAATATTTTTGACACAGAGATGAAGCTGTACAAATGTCTGGAATGCCCACTGCCAAAAACAGTATTGAAATGGAAAATCATGTTTTTCAGAAAGCAAAAACTAAGGTATATTGTTATTCTTTTCATTGTTAATTATTACTTTTAGATTATCTTTGTAAGCAATAAATAATGCAAATATTTAGAATAGCAGATATATGAATACATTATTCTTATTAGAAATAAAATTATTATCTATTTTTATTAATAACAAATACATTTATTTGCAGGAAGAGTATCTAGGTTTTGTGGCTAGACTAATTTTACATGTCAGAGAATTAAGTAATACAGATTTTAATAAATCAACTTATATAATATTTACAATATGATTAAATTATATTTATAATATATATTGTTCTTTTAGATTCGAAAAAAGGAACAGGAGGTAATGCACCAGGTACAGCTGGTGCTGGAAATCAAGGGATGCCTGATCCAATTGGAGCACTACAAACGTTAGCACGTCAGGGAACTGGAAACAATCAGATGATGAATATAAATGGACCAGGATCTAATCCTCAAGGAATAATTCCACAACCGCCAACAAATACTGCTACTAACTGTATGTAAAAATATACATTTTTAAGAAAATGAAAATTTATTAAATGAGCATTCATATTTGATGAGCAAAAATAATAAATTCTTTATTAAAATAAAAATATGGAAACTATATTTTGTTACATGAAACACACGTGTATATATGGAATCATTTATTTGATTTTGATATTTTCATGTTGTTGTTATTGTTATTAGTTTATTATTAGTTATTGTTATTATTCATAGGAAAGAATGTTTCATATGAAAAGGAAATAATTTTTCATGTTATTTTTTCATGAGTGGATGCATAAAATACAAAGGTCTTTTTTTAAAAGTGAAATTATACACTTTTTAATATGTCAATTGATACAGTATTATAAATCAAAACATTCAATCATAATATATTATGTGTATTAATTATATTACATTAAAAAATTAAGTCTTTTTTTAAATATTTAATATATTTTATTTAAATCCTGCATAAGAGATAAGTGGGACTTAAAATTTTTCAAAATTAGTGGAGAGAATATAAGATGTGTATTTGAAAACCTTCATTGCAATCAAAAGAATTTTGTTCTTTAATAAAATCATACTAGTGATGTGAATTCTGAGTAATTTGTAGATAAAACATCATAAATTAATGATTTTGTCTGTATTTTTCTTTCATTAATAAAAAACAAGAAACATAACCTAATTACAAGCATTTCACACAATATTTAAATCATTGTTCTTCAAATTATATGACAAAATATCAAAGAAAAATGTCAAAATTAACTAATATGTATTACTCACAATATGAAAGCTCTATAGAAAGTGAAGCTGCTTATGATTCTGACAACTCAGATACATATGAAATATTAATAAGGTCTCCATCTCATGCTAAATTCTATAAATATATTGAATATAGAAATGCTGAAACATTTTTACATGAGTCTTGGAAATCTAAAATACATGAACAAGCAAATGCAAAAAAAATTGCAAAAAATATCAAAGAACAATGTGGCATGGTAATTAATTTAGCAGATAACCGTGTATGTTACATTTATAAACCTATTGTTGATGAAACTCATTTACCAGGCATCAAATTTAAAATAACATTTATTTATGTTAAACTATTGCGCAAATGGTATATTAGTTTAGGGCGTAGTCGTTTACCTGATATAATAACGCTTGATAACAAATTAAAAAATGGTACTCATGATCCTATTGGTCCAAAAATTCTGAAACTGATATGTAAAATAAAAAGGATTTTGGACATTTTTATACAAAAATTGGAATATGTATGTAAAATGGTTGACCATATGAAAGGAGCTTATAAAGACATAAGAGTTCAATTAAATAAATCTTTAACCAACATTAAAATAATGCTATGTGAAAAAGCTTGGCCAAAAGATGTAAAAAAATCAAGTGCAGAAGATATAATTATTCTAGACATAATGCTAGGTGACAATTTTGAAACTGATGAACTTTCATATGAGTATATGCATAAAAGAGATATATCAGCAGAACAAAAAAGAATGTATATATTTGAATTAGAAAAAAAGATAAAAATATTTTTTTATCTCCCTTTAATGGAAGCATTTGGAATATTTATGAACGAGAAAAATTTTTCTAACAATGAAGTATCATCATCTTAATCATTTAAAATTAATCATATAAGTACATAAAATATATTAATATCTTTGTATCAAGTTTATATTTGAACATACCTACTTAAGTTATGATCTTTTGTGAATTTATTTTTAGTTATATATATATTCAATAAAACATTATATTTATGTTAAAATAAAATATGTGAATTAAAACAATATATACATTTGAAAAAATTGTAAAAAGTAGTATCATTTTATTCTTTTTTCCACATATAATTCATTAGGCAAAATTTTATTTTATTTAGTTAACACATAAATATTTAACTAAATAAAGATTTACTTAGTTGAAAATGTTAAGTGAAAATTAATTTACATGAGAAATAGGCCCTTAAATTTCAATAAAAAATAAAAAATACACATTCAAACTCATATAACAATTATTTAATACCTTATAATATTAATTGCTTTAGTGTTACAAAGTTTAAATCAACGGCCTGGACAAGCTATGACTATGCAAAGTATGCAAAGTAAAATATCAGGAATGGGTATGATGTCTGCTCAAACCAATGGTCCAATGAATCATATGGGTCCAATTCAAACCATGCAAACTAATTCAATGTTAACACAAATGAATTCAATGGGACAAGGAAATATGCCTCAACAAATGAATCAAATGGTTCCTAATCAAATGGCACAAATTACTACAGGTCAAATGCAGCAAAATATGCAAGTATGTATTTATTCCAAGAAAATATATATTCTTTTTATAATAAGTAAAAATATAGATGATAAATTATATATTTCAGACTCAAATGCAGAACCAATTATCTAATCAAATAGGCAATCAAATTAGTGGATCTATAAGTGGAATTCAAACAAATATGCCACAGCAAATGAATCAGATTGCTCCAGGGCAATTAGGTCCTGGTCAAATGCAGCAACAATTAAGTCATATACAAAGAAAGGTATATAAATAATAAAATAATATATAAATGCCATTATTTTAAAACTTTTATTGACATTATGTTGTTTCTAGCAAGGAGAAATAATAAATGCTGGTTTCCCAGGTCCTCGAAATGTCACACCTAATCAATTTCTAGGTCAGAGTCCATCACCATCTGCTCCAAGTCCTGCTGGTTTAGGTGCACCATCAAGGTTAGATATAATAGCAAAATTTTTTTTATATAAAATTAAAATTGTATATCTTTTATAGCAATCAAATGGTCGCATCACCAGCACTAGTTCCTTCACCTAGTTCACAACATATGATGGCAGGACCACAACGATCTGTTGGTATGTTAAAATTGTTTTTAATATAAAAATCATTAATATGGATTAAGATAAAAATTTAAAAATTATATTAAATTAGGCATGGCTCCATCTCCTAGCAGTTCGTTGAACACTCCTGGCGGAGTAGGTGCCACTCCAAGCCCTCAACAAGAAGATCAAGCATATAGAGATAAAGTTAGACAATTAAGTAAATATGTAGAACCTCTACGAAGAATGATTGCTAAAATGGGAAATGAAGGAAGTAAGTGATTTTAATGTCATTAATTTCAACTAGTGTTCTTGTATGTATATAAAGATTTATTTAATTTTTTATTTTACAGATGTTGACAAACTGAGCAAAATGAAGAAACTTTTAGAAATTTTATCAAATCCTAGCAAACGAATGCCTTTAGATACATTATTAAAATGTGAAGTAGTTCTTGAAAAATTAGATTTTAAACGAAGCGATGCAAGTGTTGGACCTCCAATCACGACTTTAAAAGAACACCATTTCTTCAGTCCACTTCTAGAAGCCGTAAGCACTCATCTACAAAGTCCAGTTGTAAATCATACATTACAACGTACTTTTGGACCGTGTCTGGAAGCTTTATTTGGCCCGGAGATAAAGTAAGAAATAGTTAATTTGCAGATGATTGTGTTATAAAACAGGATCAAATCTAAGAAGATATTATTTCTGTGACTAGAAATTTACCACCGCCATTGAAGAAACAAAAAATAGAGGAATCTCCTAGTGAAATACCGGACGTATTACAAGGAGAAATAGCTCGATTAGATCAAAGATTTAAGGTAATTCATTTTGGTTTCATAATTTTGTGAAATTTTTGTTTTTAATGTTAAACATTTGTGTTATAGGTCAGTCTTGACCCAGCACAACAAACTGGATCAAAATGTATTCAATTAATATGCTGGTTAGATGATCGTCATCTTCCATGCGTGCCTCCTGTATCAGTAACTGTTCCTGCAGATTATCCATTAACACCACCACGTTGTGTCATGGCACCGCATGAATATGCTACAACATTTCTTTGTGCGGTTCAGAAAGCTTTGAACGCACGTATAACGAAACTTCCTCGGCGTTTTTCTGTATCTCAATTATTAGATACTTGGGAAATGAGTGTAAGACAGGCAAGCGCACCCGCGCAAATTCCCATTAATTCTAATACTGTATTATTGGATTTATAGTGTGTTTTTGTAACATTTTATAACTATTAGATTAATATCCTGAATATAAGATAAATTAAATATTCTTGATTTTTAAATATTTCTCCATTTTTCCCTTATTACATTTTTAGTGAGCAAGCAAAGATCACAAATCTTGCAGAAAAGCAGTTTTTAATATTTAAACTTAAAGTGCAGTGTAAGATTTATAAATTTTTATAAGATTTTGATTTGTGAGAGTTAAAAATATATATGAAATATACTTGATCTCATTGTACTTCTAAATATGCATCATGATTTATAAAATATTTATAAATTTTTGAATAATTAATCATTGTATGTAACGTTGCAATAATAAAAAAATCCTAAAGCACGCATATGATTAATTTTAAATTTTATTTAAAAGATAATTTATCACGTGAGAGAACACAATAAATTTTGGGGGAAAATGCAAAATGTCCCTATTCTATTTTCATCACTTGCCTTTGAAAACATTTCTATGTAGATAGTAACCGATGCACGTATCCATAGTAATGTATAAAACCGAGATAATTTAGATTAAGTCGTGTATTCTTTATTATATTTGTAATTAAATAAAATAAATTAAAGAAAAGTCAATTATTATGTTTAGTATTATTTTTATTCTGCTAACTAGATTTTATAGCACATATTGTGAAGACTTTGATATTGATACCAATGGATATATTGTTTACTGTCCTTGTATGGGTAATTTTTAAAAATTTTTACATATAATTATATAAATATTTTAAAATGAGTTAATTTATTAAAATCATTGATTTTATTAATTTCTTTTAGGACGATTTGGAAATCAAGCGGATCACTTTTTAGGTGCTTTAGGATTTGCGAAAGCACTAAATCGTACTCTAATTATACCACCATGGGTTGAATATAGAACCGGAGAAACTAAATCTGTTTGTATACAATGAGATTAATCTTTTATAAAATATGAACAGTTTATCATTTGTTATTTTTGCAGATACAAGTTCCGTTTGATACGTATTTTAATGTTTCGAAAATTCAGAGCTATCATAAAGCATTATTAATGGAGGATTTTATGCAAGACATTGCACCAAGAGTATGGCAACCTAAGGAAAGAGTATGTAAGTTTTGGATGTCAAGTTTAAAAACAAAACATTTCTTTGAAACATTGTTCTTCTCTAGCATTTTGCTACTCTGCGCGTGGTAAAGGAGATTCATGCAATGCTAAAGATGGAAATCCATTTGGCCCATTTTGGGATACGTATAACATAGATTTTGTAAAATCAGAATTTTATGGTCCTCTTCACTATGATGTTTATCATACAGATATGGCAATGCAATGGAAAAAACAGTATCCTGCATTACATTGGCCAGTGTTAGCATTTACAGGTGCCCCTGCTAGTTTTCCTGTACAATTGGAAAATAAAAGGTTGCAAAAATATGTTGAATGGAATACAGACATGTTTAATAAAGCAGTAACATTTATAAAACAAAAATTACCAAGAGGAGCATTCGTAGGAATTCATTTGCGCAATGGAATTGATTGGGCATGTATTTAGATCTTTTCGAGATCTTCAAATTGTTTACTTTGATGTAGTACAAATTTTAATTTTTAATTTTTCGACAGGTTCGTGCTTGTGAATTTATATCGAGCACACCAAATCTTTTCGCTGCTCCACAATGCCTTGGGTATCGGAACGAACGTGGAAAAGCAACTTCTGCTATGTGTCTACCATCTTTTGATTTGGTAATACGTCATCTAAAACGAGTTATTCGCAATGGTAATGACATCAAATCGGTATTCGTAGCATCCGACAATAACTATATGATCGAAGAACTTACTAAAGCCTTAGCACGAATGAAAGTAAGAAAGATATAAATATATAAAATATGAATATTAAGAGAAGTTTCACAAACGCTCAATACGTGTTACAGGTTCCAGTTTTTAAACAGGATTCACCCGCATCACCTCATTTAGATTTAGCTATTCTTGGAAGAGCAAATTATTTCATAGGAAATTGTATATCTTCTTTCTCAGCTTTTGTAGCAAGAGAAAGAGAAATCAAAGGATATCCCACATTTTTTTGGGGCTTCCCGTCGGAGAGGTCATCATCCTCAATTACACATGAAGAGTTGTAACGAGATAATCGTTTGATTATAGCTCGTCTCTTTCACTTACATAATGAAACACTAGATGTATTTAAATTATTACAATTCATTTAAATTATTCTAAAACTTCGCATAATCCAGTTTTCATACATTTTATACTATTTTCTATTATACTTTACAAGAAAAGCACCGTATAAAATTAAAATTTTTTGAACTACATAAAATATTGCATTTCATTAAAGTTAAATCTTTCTAATATTCTAATGATTCATAAATCTCTTCTATACAAAAATTTTTATTTTACAGTTTCATAATTTATTAATTTTTATGTAATCTCTTGAAAGATCATCCAAAAAATTATTATGTAGAGACGCAATTTGATTGGAAAGGGCACAGATGCCGATACTGCATACAATCTTTCTACTAATCTATTTGCTACCTGTCGCGCGGTACCTCTGCATCATCCTCATCGCATGGTTCCAAATATTATTTCATAGACTAGCTGTAATTTGCAAAATTAAACAAATAATTCAATTTATTAAACAGAATTTGAAAATCTTCATACATGCATATCATAAGTCAAATAAAATATAAAATCCTTTTAATTATTTTTCTTTTCTTTTTTTTTACAAATGAAAATTAATCAATTCATGAGCTTCAGTATCGCTACCTTTGTCATAGACTAGTGCGCTTCTTGTTTATCGATGGTGTTGCCATCTAAGCAACTCTTAATTTCTATTGGAATTAAAAAGTTAAGTGGAAAAAATCCGATAGATGTCAGCACATTGTTTTTCCCTAGATAGTTCCAGTTTTCTCTAATAGATAGCAATACCACTTTTGTTTAGAAATTCCTCGATAAGGAACACTAGTGTGCGATAAAAATATATGTCATATAGTAGACAAGGAGCACAGTATTGTGCAACAAGGATGTGCTATAATGATTAGTTTCATCGTTTCATCGCTACGTGGTATCAGCGTTCAAGTGAGGTCTACCCTGTCCTTAATGCTTATGTACAATCAACGATAATATATCGAGTTAAAATCTTAATGCTTTACACTGATATTTTGTTATTAATTACTATTAAAAGAAAGGACTTCTCGTATTTCGAGAAATAACTAAAGAACTGCAGAATCTTTCTAATTTGATCACGAAATATGGCTGATCCTAAGTATGCCGATTTACCTGGAATCGTAAGTAATTCATATTCCACGATAGAATTATGTCAGTGCGGTTTTGTTATTAAACATCGTAGAAATTGAATCTGAGTGTAAAATAGAATGAAAATTCGTGCCATATAATTTTGTACATTTTTGATGTGTCTGTAGGCGTATGATCAAGTTGACGTTTATGAGACTACCGATTTGCCAGAGTCGGAACAGTTTCAACTTTACCCCGAGGTATAATATTAAAAGTCACTTACAATAATTAGTATCACTTTATTTAAATGTTTATTCCTTTTTTTTTTAGGATGAGACAGATTCTATAGAGAAATTGCATATTAGTGCCACTGAGGCGTTTAATAAATTTAAAAGTAAACATCTCCTCAATAAAGAAGTTGACTTTTCTGATCGGGTATCACTCAAACCAAGAACTGGCTATAAGTAAGTTAATTTAAACGAGAAAGTGTAAAATACGTGATGCCTATTGAATATATATTAAAATTTTAGATTTGGAGATTGGGAATTACCTGGAGAAGGAGAGAAAGAAACTCCCATTCAAAAGTACCAACGCTTACAATGTGAGACTAAAGAATTGTATGAAGAAATAAATGAACTAAAGGTATCAGTATTTTTATTAAAGATATTTTAAATTTGCCTCACGATGCACCATATTGTTTAAAACACAGATGTAAAATGTATTTTATCATATCCATTTGTTACATAGGAAAAGTCAAAAGAGGAAGAAATGAAATCTGTTGCTGATATAATTTCTCAAATACAACTCTTAGAAAAGCAATTAGATTCCTTGAAATTGGAAGAATGTCTTGGAGCTGATCTCATTGCTGATCTCTCGGACCCGCAAGGCACAAGAATGAAGTAAGTTCACTTGTGTTGCAAGAAAGTGTTTAAAATGAAACATGTTTCTTTTGCTAATGAATATTTTAGACAACTGATATCGCAAATAGAAGCGTTCAAACAGACTAGTATTCTCACATCTGAAACTGATTCAAAGGCACAGAATGTAAAAGATGATAAAACAGCAGAACCTGGTGTACTCAAGTATCAGATGATGTATCTTCCAGAAAAAGCAAGAATGCAGGAAGCAGCGAGGATTGCATTACTTGAACAAAGGCTTTGTAATTTAGAAAGTGTGATTGGAACAACAAGTGATAAGCTTTCCAAATTTTCACAGGTATGTAACTTTCACAGCATATAATTATAATACTTAATCGCATTTCAATCATATGTGTACAAGTAATATATTCTTTTTTTTTATAGAATCTTAAAGGTCAAGGTGTAATGGAAGCTCTCCAAGAATTAGGAGCAAAAGCTGCATTATTAGATACATACCAACTAGATATAATTGAAAGCCGATTAGCTACATTAATTCATAGAATGGATAATATTGCACAAAAAAAGGCTACATTAACATTAGATTCAGAACAAGAACAAAAAGTATATATTTTCTTGCAAATATTTAAATATGAATTTATTTATAAAAATTCAACATTAAGAACTGAAAACAACTAAAGAACTATTTGATCTAAATTAAATTTCGATTTTAGATTTCCGAAATGTATGATATTATGAAACAGACGGAAACTATGACACAAATTTTACCACAAACAGTGAATCGAATGTTGGCTTTAAATACTATTCACCAACAAGGTATGTATATATTTTATGAATATATTCATAAAATTTTGGACGTTTCCCTTTTAACAAATATACTTTTTTGATGTGTTTTAGCTGCTACATTCAACAAATCTCTAACACGTTTAGAAGAATTACAATCACAAATAACATCTGATCTAGAGAGTAACAAATCTCTTTTAAAAGGAGTACAAGAGAGCTTTGCATCAAACTTAGAAATTATAAGAAACAACATAGAATCGTTAGATGAACGTATTAAAAAGCTTAATAAGTGATAATTTAAGAATATGGTTGAAATTTTCGATACAGATTATGATAATTCAATTTGTTTAATATATATTTATTAAATTATATATTATTTACTAATATTCCCTAAATATATTTTTAACTTATTCATGATTTAATGTACCTTATCATGTATTATTTTTAAAATATTTTTTATATAATTTTAATTGTTTTTTTAAATATAATGTTTTGAAAAATATAATTGTCATATCCTTGTAGGAAAAAATTCATTAATGTATAAACATTAAAAATAAAATAGAATCATGCTTTTCAAATATATCTATAAAAAGTTGTTTCTTTTATTTTGGAATAGGTAAATAGATAGAAAATACTGCACTTAGATTACTTGTAAATTTTTATTTAAATTTAATTAGAATCGCAGTTTTTGGAAGAACCATTTATTTTTACCAGATTTATACCTAAAAATAAATATTAATATCACTTGTCTATCTAAAGTAATTAAATAGTCATTAAAGGATATTTACAATAAATTTAGATATACATACTTTTCTTCAAATTTAACACGTGTTTGAAATCGGATCTTTTTACGTTTCATTGGATCTTTAAGATCTTTAGGTGTTACTTTGTCCCAATGTAAATCTACAGTATACCTTGTTGGCATCAAATGATTATAATTTAACACCTGCAATTAATACAAATGAAATTGAATATATCTAAAATTATACAAATCCATGACAAAACATTAGATGATTGTATACGTTAGTAAACCTTCTTATAACTTTCAAATAATCATTTTAAAAACTCACTTTTACAAATGGCTTGATCTTAGATCGTTTATGAATCTTTGTTTTTCCCATTCTTTTATGAACCTTACGTGGATATCTGTCAATACCAGCTACCATTGCATGTCCATATTGTTTTTCTGTAGTACCATCATCATAATTCCGCATAATGATAGCTTTTCTTCCTGCATATCGCCCGCTAAGGACCAATACGACTTTACCCGTTTTCATAATCTTCACCATCTTGGAGATATATCTACAAGAAAAAATTTAAAAAATTAGTTCACCAGTAAGAAAGAAGGATATTTTATTGTTAAACTTATATGTAACAACTTATTTTTAATTTAATTGTTAATTTTATTTTAGCAAGATCTTTTTAACAGCTAGAGTATCAATTGTAAACACACATCATATAACCTCTTTTACAACACAAAAAATTAATATTTATAACATTTCAGGCATTAATACATAAATTTATGTACAATAAATGTTTCTTAAAACACATGAAGATCTAATTGTAATCTCTCACTTTAATAATATAAACAAAGTTACAAGTGTTTATTAACATACCTAAGAATCTATCTATCAGTTCTAAAATCAAATAAACGACAACTATTCCAAAAACACCGGAATAAATGTTATCGAAAGCAATATTATGTGTACAAGCAAATTGTTTCTCTATTTTCCGATGTTTTTGGATTAATTTCTGAAATTACAAGCATCACAAACCTTACGGCTTTCCACACCGGACAAAAAAGGAAGTTAACCTAACATTCGATCACCTACTTGTCCAATATTCAAAATTTAGCCTGCAGATGTCGTATCGTTAAATATCCGGCGACGTCTAATAATAACCAATCCTATGTCGCGGTTTGAATGACGTTCAAGAAAATTACATCTTAACAGACGATTTTCATTCGGACCCGATTTTGCCCGTCGCATTGCAGCCGTAATAAAAATCCTTATCGATTCGTTACACTAAGTGTCGCGCGATTTTCGCGAAAAAAACGGGGAATTGGTTAACGTACGTTTTCAACTCGAGCCACGAATCAGAGGCAACATTGTTTCTGTAAAAACCGAGTACAATCGTTGCCAAATATCTAAACTTTTCGAGAGTTCGAGAATAATCCCGATGATTTTCTCGATACATCGAAATGATTGGTCGGCATAAGTAGCTTCCTGCTTGCTTGTATCTCGCACGAGGGATGTTAATAGGCATTATTTTAGTCTTATCGTAGAACCTTTTTTTAAATACAATTTGCCTGATTGGATTATTTGAAAAGACTGATATTGTTGATACCGAGTAGTGAGTGCAGACACAATAAGTTAGCGTAATGGCATTAAACGCTCAATATGAAGTTATCGGAAAGGGTTTCGTACAACAGTATTATGCGATGTTTGACGACCCTGCTCAAAGACCAAATTTAATAAATATGTATAATGTAAGTTCTCTGATCCTCTACGGCCGCATCTCTTCACTCTGGCCGTTCTTCTCCAGCATACTTATTTATTAGATATTTGCGTTTACAGACCGAGTCATCTTTCATGACATTTGAGGGTTTGCAAATACAAGGTGCTATCAAAATCATGGAAAAATTAACTGTGAGTCCTTTTTTAAGGAAGACGATTGCTACATATTAATGTTACTGTATCGTAGCTACTGCTTGTTCAAATATATATATGTAGAGTAAAAAGTTATATTATTCATAAAGAGATTGCAAAATTAAAAGAAAATAGACTGTCTTTTTGATACTGATCAGTAATTACTTAATTTTCAGAGTTTAACATTTCAAAAAATAAATCGGATAATAACTGCTATTGATTCACAACCAATGTTTGATGGTGGCGTGCTTATTAATGTTTTAGGAAGGTTGCAGGTAAAGAGAACAAATTTTTTTCATGTTATGATTGTAGTATAAACAGACAGTTAGGAGATTTGTGAAAATGTACAGAATCACAATATTTATATATACATATACATGAATAGCAGAAGTATATAAGGAAAGAATTTTATTTGATATGTGCAGAGATCTTATTCCAATTAGTTCAGTAATTTAACTTCGTCTATTATATATTTAATACTCCATGCAATGCATTTTCTAAACAAAGATACATTCGGCTCGATTTTTTTTTAAATTTATCAATACATTTATATTTCTATTCGTCCATATATTATATTTTATTGGCTGGACAAGCTACACAAATGTGTACTGTACTGCCTTACATTTTTTGTGCTGCCATATGAAGATAGAGATTGAGCTATGACTAATGTCCAGCAACAATCTCTCTATATACCTCCGCGAAGAAGATGAAATAAGAAAATTCAGTCAGTGATTGTTGATGATTGGGCAGACTGATGAGGATCAGCCCCATGCATACATCCAGACATTTGTCCTGAAGCCAATTGGCACCAGCTTTTACGTGCAGCATGACATCTTCAGACTTGCTCTGCACAACACGGTTTAGGCGTCAGGTATTACTATTCCATTGATCTTCATACCATGGTACAGGCAAGCCAAATACTAATTTTGTAATGTCTAAAGCTGCTTCGTGTGTGTTTGCTCTGTGATTATTAATTCTAATTTAATTTCTTATTATTTGCGATATTGCTTTTGTATTTATTATAATCAATAATTTAAGAAAAATAATTTTTGCACCCAACTAATATTAATTTATAAGACGAAGAAAATATCTGTTCCATTTTAAAGTTTATCATTATGATTATTTGAATTTATCCAAATTTTCTATCTTCATTAATTCAATATTTGCATGTGTTATTTAATTAATTATATTTCAGTAAACTATGTAATAAGGATAATGATAGGAAAAAAATTTAAATTGCTGAACTGACAGGAATAAAATTTATTTTTTCTATTTTTAGAGAAAATTTAATGATACGTCGTTTAGTCATAGTTCATATCAATAAAACATGTAATAATTTATTTTGTGTACCAATATAACAATAATTTAAGTATTATATGAAATAATATATGAATATATTCTGCATTGTATATTTTATTATTTTTTTTATATTGAACTGATTACATACATATTTTAAATAGTGAAATTTCTATGGTATTTAATCTTTATAATAATTAAAATTATTTATAGCAATATAGGGAAAAAATGAAATTAGTTTTTTTTATATGAAATTTAATTGTATGGTGAATTTATATTGCATACTTTTCTATTTTTATTAAATTTTTAAAACATTTACATAGTTTTTGCATGATTATTAATGATTATTAACTATGTTAATAATTGATAATAATTCATTTATGTATTTTTACACGATACAATTTTTTTATACTAGTTAAAATTGATTTTATGTGAAATATATAAGTAATACAAAAAGAGAAAAATTTTATATTTTATATATATATATATATATATATATATGATAATAATATCTATATAATGATAATGTACGTATTCTAAGTGTATGGTTATATATTTACAATTTGTTACAGGCAGATGAAGATCCACCACATGCCTTCTCGCAGATTTTTGTGTTGAAGCCACTGGGGAATTCATTTTTCTGTCAACATGACATTTTCCGACTTGGCATTCATGATAGTGCATGAAGAGAAATGTCTGCGAATTCATCACAGTTAATAGCAGACAGGTACTCTGAGCCATGGACTCCCCAGAGATTAAAATAAGTGAGCTACTTTATCCTTAATATCCTTTATCATCACATATTATTCCATTCTTTCTAGATACTGCAGTTTTTATATGAAAAACATTTGCTTATATCTTGGCCACAAAAGAAAGAAAAGAGCATTAAAAATAAATACAGTTTAATAATTTTCATGTTTTTGTTTTTTTTAACTGTACCTGTTGTTGCGTACATGTTTATGATATAATATAACGTAATATAATAAATCATTATATATTTAATTTTAATAACTGATTATTACTTTTTTAAATTGTATATTATATATTTTATCTCGTACTATGTGTATTTTTGTAAAACAAAGATTGGCCATAAAATACAATATTTGGAATTAATAACATAATAATAATTTCTATTTTACAATTTGCAATATAAAGAAATTTTAATCTAGTAAAGATTGGAGGCATGATTTTTAAAAAAAGGTTACTATATATTATGTAATTGTATGTTATCTCAATTGACATGATTATTAAGAATCGGAGTGTTACAAATTGCCGCGTTTAGCTTGCTCCATTTCAATAGCTTCAAACAATGCTTGAAAGTTTCCAGCTCCAAATCCCTAAGAAGAAATCAAATTATTGTAATTGTATTAGTTCCAATTTAGGAGATTTATAGTAAATTCAATGATCATCGTAACACTTACATTGTGATTATGTCTTTGAATGACCTCTATGAAGAGCGTTGGCCGATCTTGCATATTTTTGGTAAATATTTGTAAAAGATACCCATTTTCATCATAATCGATTAAAATTTTTAATTTCTGAAAATATATTTGAAAATCAATATCAATGAATTTTACGCTACATTTTTTAATTTAATATTCCCACCTGAAGTATGTCAATATCCTCCAAGATTTTTATACCATTGTTTTTCAAACGACTTCTTAACATATCATAGTAAGTGTCTGGAACATGCAGAAATTCTACTCCTCTAGCTCGCAGATTCTGTATCTGTGGAATAACAAAAATTTCCAATTTTAGACTCTGATCCTATTCAAATTGAAGGAAGACACTGGCGAGAATGTAATTTACAGCCGTAATTATGTTGTTTGTATTGAGAGCGATGTGTTGCACTCCTGCTCCTCCATAATATTCGACGTATTCCTGGATTTGAGAACGTTTCTTGCCAGGAGCAGGTTCATTAATAGGCATTTTCACCGTTTCTTCCCAATTCGTCATTACGATGGAACGCAGAGCTGAATATTCTGTGTGCAGTTGAGTATCATCTACTGACCAGAATCGATGAAACTGCAAACATTGTTCGTACCTATGATTGAAATAAATTTCACATAAGCATAGTTATACAGATTTCCTTCAATTTTTTAAATTTTCAATTGATTTGTATATACCATTTCGCAACAGGTTCCATTTGTTTGTCAGGTTGGTTGCCAACGATATGATCGATGAAATTTAATCCTACTTTTGGTCTAAATAATAAAAATTAATTTATCAGAAACTTAATAATGTTATCTGAGAAACAATTTCAAAGGAATTTAAGTTACATACAGTGTCTTTGAAAACGGATCATCCGGTAGAATTTGGAATCCTGGCAAAAAGAATCCTTTATATTTGGATCTGTCTATCAGTGTATGATATGTATCCCCATACTGATAAATTAGAAAATAATTAAATTTTATTGAAATATTTCTTTTATCTTATTATAGTTTTTCTTTCGTTGTGTACACTTACTGTTCTTATGGTAGCAAATTTTACAGTACCATATTCGTCACTTTCTTCCCATATGTCTTTCACTATTGTCGCTCCTCCTTCCTTTGCGATCTGAAAAAAAATTATGATTGTTTCATTTATATATATTAAAAGAAATTGTAGTTTCAACATACTTTCACAATGATGCCTATATCGCGAACGTTAAAAGCAATATCGCGAACACCGTCTCCGTGTTGGGAAAGATGGCTTGCCATTTCTTCATTGTTAGGTTCATAGGCTGATTCGAATACAAAAATGATCTGTAAATAAAAAACAATATTTTTAAATAACACAATATATTAACAAAATTTCATTGATAACATTTGTTAAATGCGTAATATTTGTGATAAAAATATTATTTATAAAGCCCATTTTCTTCTGAGTAAACTGAAAAAAATATGAAAAATATAATCAATATCTAAAGAAATAATTAATATAAATACGCAAATTTCGGAAAATATAATGCGTTCAGTGAACTAGCGAATTTTTATTCAAAGTTGGAAAAATGTTCTGTGTGTTAAATCGAAAAAATATTACTATATAAAAATTTGTATAATGAACATAATTGTTCGTTTAATATTTACTTGATTTTGTTTAACGACGTGCGATGCCACGCGCCTGGATCCAGTTTCTAAACCGCGGTAAGCCAAAGGTTCGAAACCTAATCTAGCGCAGTAATAACTGGCTGCCTAAAATATAAATGTAAATTTGTAATAAAATATTCAAATGTCAAATAAAATATTTTGCCATGTTTGAACATTCAAAGGTTGTTGATAAAGCTATGTCAATAATAATTATGGAAAGTGAAGAGAAATATGACTGTAATGTTCGTGATTTGTTCATTCTCTTAAGGATCTATTTTTATTTGAACTTAAATGAACAATTAATTAAATGATTTATTTAGATTTTGTTTCTGCGTGAGAGTGTACAAGAAATCAGAAATACCGAAAAAACGAGAGAATAAAATATTAAAGTAAATCCTGAATATTTGCTAATTTCGTGAAACCCATTGTCTTTAGTTTAATTACCTGTTTTGCATTCCCGACCCAGAATTTGAGGTGATCGAAGTGCAAGAATTTTCCACCTAAGGGCTAGAAATAAAAAAGAATTATGTGTTAAAAATACGTTGTGATAAATCCTTTTTAATCGATGTGTTCACCATGTGTTAATAAATATATAATTACCTTGAGACCTTTATCCGTATATGTAGTCTGAAAAAGAATAAAATTAAAACATTTACATTGTCGATTAAATATGAAAGTCAAAGGACATTTTAAAATAATGTAATTTAGAAAAATTGTTACTTAAATTTTGTAATGATAGACAGTTTTATAGCAACACTTGATTAATAAAAGATTGTTAAAAACTTCGTACCATATCGAATACTTGCGAAAAGTTAGAGCGAGCTAGTTAATGATTTCTTTTTCATAGTTCTTAATCGAAAGCGCACCTTGCTTAAATATAAGCGCGATTCTCTATCCTGATCACTGATTGGCTGAGCACGGAGGCCTGTTTGTGTCGCATCCTAAATCAGTTGTATAGTATTGTTGGTAATATTACAACTGACTTTTTCAGGATTATCTACGATCACCTGACATTTTCTTCACGGGCACGTGTTGCAATTATCATTTCAGGACTATCTCTTTAAATATACTGAAAAAAATTCATTTATTTTCAATTATATAGTTTAATTTAATTGAGATACACATTAATGCCCCCTTAGTATTCTCTCTTGAGTACGCAATATTATATTAAAACGTTTAAAAAATATATTGAAAATCCATTTGTACATTTTATTAATTGCAATTGATGACGTAAATGCAAAATGATATATTTTGTCACGAATAATTATTACTTCGTGTTAATTTTGAATGACAAGCGTGCAAATAGAGTACAATTATAGATAGCAGATAACATATTACACATTCTTTTCGCATTTAAAAAAAGTTAGTTGAGTTAAATGTTTGCTTTTTTATTTATTCTTGCGACTTAGAGTTAATTTTGCCGTGCCTTTTTGAATGAACTGAAAAAAGCCACTTATTTGTATGTATAACTTGCTTATACTAAAATGAAGCAATAGTGATATATTTGTTAATATAAGTGACGATTATAAAATGACTATTTTTCTAAAAACTATTTCGTAATTTAACATTGTTTAAAAAGTATTTTATGCTTATAAAACTTTCCATTTACTCCACGGGGGCTCGTCGTTTTACATGACGAAACATGATTGGTCGTGTGTCAGCGCTTAGATTCTGGTTTTAGAGGTGTGTCTTGTTTTTTAATGTAAATTACAAATTAAAAGCGTGCATAGCGCGTGATACAAACGTGTTAGCGAACCGGCAGAACCAGAAGGATTGCCTCGATTCATTTTTACGTATTACCGAGGTCAATAAAAGAAAAAAAAAACGAACAAAACAGGATACATGACAAATGTATCTATATATAAATTTAAATGTGGCTTCCTCAAGTATTTTTCTTTTCTCATAACAATTATAAAAATGAACTACTTTCAGACTACATATACGGATAAAGGTCCCAAGGTAATTATGTTTTTTTTTTTTTTTTTTTTTTTAATATCTAGGAAATAAAAGATAAAACCTAAATTCTCTGAAGTGTAACGTCTATGGTAAAAATTTCATTTTAGAATAGAGTAAAAATTTTAAAAACGATTAAGTTCGAACATTGTATATTTCAATTATAATTTTTATTCAATTGAAGTATATCGATGACATTACAGTTTCTTGTTGTTCACGTTTTACTGCATGTACGTCTTATGTTATTTGTTAATCAATTACTGAATTAATATCTAGTTTGAATGGTGTAAATAAGACAAAGTGTTTCATGTGGAATAATTTGAAATATTCATAGTTTCCAGCAACACGTAAACACATGACTAGATAAAATTATTTATAATTGTAGTACAAAAGATATGTATTAGAATTTAAACATTGTATATTATTATAAACAATATAAAATATAAATTTTAAATACACAATTAGTTGTCTAATTTTTGTTTATACAGTATCCCCTTATACAGAGATACTTGAGATAGATTTTATATTTTCCTTATAAATTACATTCTCCTTATATGATTATAGCAGAAAATTACATTTATATAAATGTATTAATGAGAAAATTATGTTTTCGAAAGAAATTTAATTTAAATATTTAATAAATAGTATTGAAAATAATGAAATGATAATATTATTTAATTATCATTGAGTTTTTATCACTCATTTTCTGGTTCGGGAATTACATTAATCTTATTAATATTCTCTTTTGTTAACATATTGACTTAGTATGTTATACATTTTCTTTTAATAATATTGTTAGTTTCATCTACTTATACTAACAAATTTAAGAATTATATTGCTATTTATAAATCGTATAAATAAATTATGTATCAGACGCTTCTTACATATATTTATATACAAAGAACTAATTATAGTACATATAATATAAATTGATTTATATTATACAACATGGAATTATTGAAAAGTCAAGCAATAAACAACAATTAATTGCCTTATACCTAATCGCAATAAAAATCTTTATCCGGAATAATCTAGTTTAAATACTTAGACAAATAAATTATTTAAATAAGTATCACTTAATTTGGACGTAGCGATATAATACTAGAATCATTTTATTTTCTACCTAACATTGAAAGCTTGGACTTGAAGAAGTTGTTTTATTATGCTATTAAAACTGTATTTTAAAGAAATTTTAAAGAATTTTTATCTTTTCTTGAAACCATACACGATAGAAATTACTCTTTAAATATTATATGTTTTTACTACATTTATATTTATGTAACATAAATCTTTTAAATATAATTGCAAATTTTATTACATAATATCATTTATGTTTAATAGTATGAAAAAAATTTAATAAATGGAATATTCATAATTTATATTATCCTTTTTTATACTATTATAATAAAACCTAAAATATTGTTCAATGTAAATTTATTACGGAACAAATGCTTTTAATAAAACATTTAATATTTCGTATTAAAATATATCATTTGTGATTGAGAAAATAGCAATACCAGTTTAGTATGTATGGTTGGTACATGTGAATAATATAAAAATTCTTTGATTATAGCCAATTCTTAAATTATCATACTCAATAGCGCGATCTTTATTACAAAAATACGTGTAGAAAATTTGGTAATATTTTTTTTATCAATATGTAGTACTTTTTTTTTAATTGTAAAAGTCGATTTTCTTAGTCGATTAAATTAATGGAATGTTTAATCATCCTATTAATTTTGGAAAGAGATATGAAAATTTGAACTTATTGTTTCTTACTGATGTGGACGTTTTAAATAAATATAATACTAAAAATGTACATATACGTTAAGATGTATACGTGATATTTATATGTATACGATTATTTATAAATCGTTGCTATAGCAATAAGAATTTAACTACTGTTACATGCTAACTACTAAATGAAGGATTTCGTTCTCATTTTTAATGCCCTTGTACCTATTATCACGTAACAAGGTAAAGAGAATGTTTCTATTTAATATTATTAAAAACATCAGAAAAATGTATCTACTACTATACACAGATAACATATATACAAAATGTTGTACATTATTGTTAATTTGGCATGCCATGAAATATATAAAAAAAAGAACAAAATATTAAGTAAAATAATTCAATCCCGAACGAAATTGTGATGGAAGCATTTGTAGATAATTATTATTTATAGCAATACAATTCCATGGTCTCTTTCCAGTCTACGTTTTGCTTTTAGAGACACAATCCCCATTAAATCTGCAGGAGTTGGAAGTCCTCCAGAGGTATTTGGAGCCACTGCTTGTTGATAAAATACCTCTACGTTTCCACACTGGTTACCATAAACAACGGTATCCTCCGTTCTAGTTAATTAATAAAATATACTCATTTTTTTATCATTTTCAGAATAATTACCATGTTAGTTAGTGCTTCGTAATGTATCACAATATGTGAAAACGAAATATATTCTAAATTTATAATACAATCTCTTTTTTTGGAAATATTTGGCAATAGCATTAAATCAAGTAAAATCATCTACTGAAGCAAGCTGACGTATGCAAAATTGTACTAAGTGAAACAAATTATCTAATGTTTAAGTAATTACCTGACAATAATATCTGTGAGATTACTGGCATGTGTGAATCTATCATGAAGGCAAGAAACAATGTCCAATTCAGTAACACCCCAAAGTCCAGAACGATTTAGTGTATCCCATTGAGGATCGATACTTAATATACTATATAATTCCTTATTTTCATTTGATGGCAAAGGCTCTAAACACTGTTGTAATCTTGCTTCAAGTTTTCCTAATGTATTCATGCAAGTCTGCCACTATAACATGTTTAACAATATAATGTATATTGTCAAAAAAATTAATGACATTAGGCTTACGAGATATACTTACGAGAAAGTGTATAAGATCAGGATTATTGGCAGTTCCATTTTCCATTAGTAATACCAGCACCATATTGTGATGCCCACAGAGAAATAATTCCGTTTTCTCAAAAGAGGCTTCATCCTTGGAAGTAGTTACCCAATCTTCTTCCAATTCATCCTCACCATCGCTACCAGTTTCTTTATTAACTGCTTCCAATTTTTGCTTGATTATTTGATTCGTTGATGTCGAAAAGCCAGATAAATCGCGAAATTCACTGGGAGTTGTTTCCCTACTACAAAAACCGCTAGTTCTCTCGTCAGCAAGTAAACTAAGTTTAGACATAAGAGGCGTTAACTGTAGACCATCCAATTTCTTCTTTTGAAGAAAATCATACACGTTGCCGCACTCCGATGCTGATTTTCGTCTGTCATCATTATCAGTGATATTAAGCGGTTTCAATGGAAGACTCATCGATCTACGATAAGTTTCTTGTTTCACTTTACTATCTACTTTTATGTCACGAGAATTACTTGAGTTTTCTAAATTATCACTGATCGCTGTATCACAGTCGTTCGTTACATTTTTCATATTGCAATCGTTAGACAAATTTGTTAAAAAGTCGTTGCGATTAATTGTATTATTTCGATCGTCCTTAAGTTCTTCGTAATGCGATGATATATACTGATCGTATAAAGACTGAGATACTGGTAATCCATCGCATCGAAATACAGGATAACATGGATCAGTAATTGTATGAAACTGCCTTTTATTCGAAGACTTCTTTTGAGGAGAAGCTTCAGGAGACATACTTTGTTTTAACTGTGGCAATCCTAATCCATATGTTCTTACTGATATTCGATTGGAGCACAAATTAGACGATTCTAAATCATGCATGCTTAAGCTTCTCTTATTAAATTCTCTTCGTTTAACTAATTTTTCTTTCGGAGTGACGTTTCTTAATTTATTTAAACGTTTACATCTAAGTGCTTCTTTAACGACATCCGGGATATCATCCACGGTTGTCTTTATTTCTTTTTTCTCCTCTTCTGCTTCATTATTTGTGTCTTCGTTCGTGTTACATATTAACATAGCATTACCATGTAATACTCTATTAACATCTTTTAAGGGCGTGGAGCATACGCTAGGAGTCAAAGGATTTGCACACTTAGGACGGTCTGTTTTACTTTCCTGTTTACGTTTCACTGGAGAACTATAAGCTGTAAGTGGAACGGAGGATACGTAGTGACTATTATCGTTGTACTGTGATGAATCTAATTCTCCTTCTTCAGGTACAGTAAAAATGCGAGAAGTATCACGTTTTATTCCGGACAAAGGAAGTTCTTTACTATTCTTGGACATGTTCTAAAAGTATAACCGTTTCATTATTGAATTATCTATTGAACTATCACAATGCAAAAATTACTCACCTTTCTTTGAAATATTTTCTTTGTTACAGAATCTAAATAAGAACTATAATACCGCTCGTTATTTGCTTCTTGTGCAAGTTTTGCAAACTGTTTTTGCTCTATATACACTCGCAATAACTGTACTCCAACAGGTAGATGAAATTCTGTCGATATTTTTTCTGCAGGAGCCTAAAAAGTTTCATTTAAAACAATATTTAATATTATGTGAACATTATATACTGTTAATTTTAATTTAATATATACCTTTATTCTATATGGATCAGTTATAACAATTTGTTTGGTCAATTCAGCACTTAATTGAGTTGCAACTACCCTGAAATATTAGTACTTTTAGTTTACCAACTAAAAGAACAATTTATTTGTCAATGAAACTTACTTATTATTATAGAAAAGTGCACCACCCATGACACCATTAGTTTCTTGACAATATTGTAAAAGTTGAATCGCTTCTAAAAATATGTTACTAGCGCTCTAAAAAGATATCATATTAATATATATTATATCATGTTATATCATATTATATATATAGTAGAAATAATTTATTATGTTAAAAGGAAATAAAATTGGTTATCATATTAATTACCTTTGGAAGTTTAATGATAGGAATATTAGAGAAAAGATTGGCACTATATTGAAGTATTGGCAAATATGTTTCAAACATTTGATAAAGTTTCTCTGTAAACTTATTTCTGTCATTGTTAAATGATTCCAATATTTTATTTAAATCATAATGAAAAAATTTCAACAATGACTCTAATGTGATTGCACGCCTTTCTAGAATCCAATCATGAATATTCCTATCAGTTCCAACTGCCTGTAAAATAAGAAACAGTGAAATTTTATTTTAATATATACTAAGCATGATATATTATGAGAAAAATATTATATTTCATTCATTGGGAGCATATTGATAATTGGAGATAACAACTCTAATAGATAACTATTATAAAATTACATTATATAGCCACTTTCATATATTGTGTTACATTAATTTTAAAATTTGTAGTCAATATACTTACAAGTATGTACTGTCCAAATTTCTTTAGCACAAACTTTCCTCCTTGCAATGTGATTGATTTTGGACTGGAAAATGATGTTGAAAGAAACTGATTAACAGCCATTAATTGTCCTGCCAGAGCTAATCTTTGGGTAAGAGATACCCATGCAGGATGAAAATACATAACTGCCTCTGCAGGATCATCATCTTCTTTACAACACCTTGCAGTGTCATAAACAAATACTATCATCATCTCTCTAAAAAGAAATATCAGAACTAAGCAGTAATATATAGTTATGTAATATTAATTGTGTAATAACTTGTAAATACGTATTAAATATAAATAAAATGATTTCTCTTTTATAAATGAAGTAGCTTACCCTGGCGTAACTGATAAAACCTTCTATACACAACTTTGAAAATTTATTAACTTTCATTTTTACAAAATTATAGACATAATATTAATGTCTATAATTTGCTCTGAAGCTTATACACGAATGAATATCTATGAAGTAAATAATTGTGAACAAAGAATTACTGATTAGCTGCACCAATAACCGATAACAAAATAAAGGAGATAAGATTATAGATTAGAGCACATTTTTTAAAAGCATTGTTACATACTGTGAATAAAAACTCATTGCATCATTATGATGAGGTAACTCTTTAAAAAAAACTCAACAGGTTTTTCCAGTTTATTTTATGTTATTTTGCACAAAGTTGAATTAATAAAAGCATTTTCAACTTTTTAATCTACAAATCCAAGATATAAAATAACACATAAAACGAAGGAAAAGTTTGCTTTAACAAAATTTATAATTGCTGAAAATAATAGTTTATTTATATGTATGTACATTAACAAAATATATTTTATTATGAAATAATATACTGTAAAACTAATTTAAAAAAGAAAACATTTCTTTATACATTGTATACATTACTTCACATGTACAAGAATATAATTTACATAATTGTTGTACTACAGAGAAAATAAAACAATCAAACTACAAGCAGATATAAATTAGTCCATAAAATATACATACAAACATACGCATGTATTAATTAAAGATAATTTTAATTAAAGAAATATATTAGTTCAGGGTAAATGATGTGAAGTGACGCGAAAGTGTTGCAAGTGTGAACAAAAAAAAAAAAAAAAGAAGTCAAGTGCAAAAATCGTTTTATTAATAATTCATGAACTCACACCAACTTAAAGTCAGCATTCTCTTTGACAAAAACTAAAGATTTGAAAAGGGACATGCCGCCAAAAGATGAGTCGATGTATCAAGCGTAACAGTAACAGAGTTTACAGAGCATAGTATAGTAAACAAAGCATTATCATTGAATTAAAGATGCACTTTCTACGCTGCTATAATTAGATAAAGCTAGCGTTACGCAATATCCTCGTACTTTGCCATGGTGATTGTTTACGCGTTTCAACGTGCCGGGGCTGAGAACTTCGGATGCGATTGTCGATTGTAACGTCAAACCCTTTCCTTCTCGTTTCCTTTTTTTTTTCCCCAGTCACAACGGCAAGTTCAACGTCGTGTTTCTCGTTCTATTCTTACAGTCGTTCAGGACGCTACTAAGCGTCGCGAAAAATGCACTTCGATGGAAATGCACTTTCCCGTTATGTAATGCAAAATCTGAGCCATAATAATCTTGATTCTCAATCACGCTGAATGGAGCCGCTCCTTTACCGCCATGCTGATATCGATCTCCTTTGTACCAGGCAAAACTTTGGTCCTTGATCGGTAATACGGCTACAACCGCGATATTTGAATCTTGATTATAATCTAACGAAAGTTAACGCGCTATTGGACTGTAGTTACATATGTACGTTGTCAATTATAAAGCGTATATTTTTATACTGAAATATATATATATTTAACAAATGTAAATAGTAAGTAAAATATAATTTACAAATATGTGTATCAGTTCTCAGCAAGTTCTTGCAAGCAATCACGAAGAATTTCTAAGAAGATATCAGCATGATATTCTCCGAATATAAGGCATGGTCTTAGTCTAATTGTTTTTGTTCCATTGCCACTCACTTGTACACCTAATTGTAATTTTAAATTTATTACAAAGACAATAAGATATAAAAATTGTCAAATGTACATAATCAAAGTTTAGTACCTTTAGTACGTAAGAGATACATTAATTTACTTCTCGTATCTTTGCATGGCGTGTCAAACGCAATGATAAAACCTCTGCCTCGCACGGAACTTATAAGATCCGAAAATTCATGCTGTAACGTATTCAGTTGACAAAGCAAATAATTGCCAACGTAACATACATGAGTTAATAAATCTTCTGCTTCGATGGTTTTTAATACTGCCTCTAACAATAAAATTTTAATTGGATCCCCCATCCATACATTAAAAACTCTACATGGTTGCTTAGGCCTAAATGGATAACACAAAAAAATATTTATGATAAAAATGCAGTGTTCTATTCTTATATAAATTTTATCATGTTCAATAGATATGTTACATATATTCAGGAGAATGATAAAATCCACTAGCTTGCATTTTGTAACTAAAGGTAACAATATCAGGAGGAATATTTAATTCAAAATATTCATGTGCCCATATTCTTCCAGTTGCACCACCACCTGTTTGTATCTCATCCAGTATTAAAGGAATAGATCTCTATAAAATTTATATTTGTACAATGTTTTTTAATATTTATAATATCATACATAATAATGCAAACACTTAAATAACATATTAACCAATTACTTTTTTACAAATCTCTTGTAACTGTAGAAAAAAATCTGGAGAAGCATGTCTATCTCCTCCTTCACATTGTATTGCTTCAACTATGATACCAGCAACTGGCATTGTCTTTTCATATTGTTCTATTAACTCCTCTACCTTTGATGTATTTTAATTAATTTCTAGCAATAAAATTAATTTAAGATTTATGACAATTAAGTTTACTTGTTCCAAGCATCGAACATCTTCTTGTTTATTTTCTTTTTCATATTGATTCAGTGGATATAAATAATGTGGATAAGGTGCAATTGGCCATGGAAGAGAAGGTACATCAACTTTCGTTATATATCTATAATGTGATAGTGCCAATGCGCCAAACGTTCTACCATGAAATCCTCCTAATTTTATAAATTTCATTAATTTATAGTGTTATATTATGACGTTACATTAAGATATACCTTCAAAAGAAAGGATAGACAATTTAGGACAACCAGGTGGTTTATTAAAGAGTGCACTTTTTTTTTCTTCATCTGTAAAATCCTTGCCACATCGACGTTTTTCCGCATATTTTATGAATGCCATTTGTATAGCATGCTCAGTAGAACAAGCAGCGCACATGGCTGTAAAAACACATGGTAATCCTTTTGGAGCTACCTGATAAAATAAAATCATATTTAATAAATTCATTATTTATTCTTATTAATGAAATATAATTTGCTAAATAAAAGTATTTTCTTACACATGGTTGAAGCAATGTATTCTGTATTTTACGTGGCCACTCTAAACCAGGGAATAATCCCAATGCAGGCCTATTTGCTATTACTCTCTAAAAATTTGTTATATTAATATTTTCAAGCTGCTCTTAATGGATATAATAATTTTCAATTATATTTACTTGATTTCCTCCACAAGATAATACACCAAGGATTGATCTATGGTTATATCCAAGAGCAAGTGTGGACACTTGCATAAACATATCTAAGAAAACATTTCCATCAATATCTGCTAAGTAATTTCCAATAGATCTTTGGTAATCTCCGAAATATTGAATATCTACTTGCTGCAAGATTTTATAGTTGTATTTAATTATATAATTATAATTGTGTTTTCTAACACAATTTGAATTTTTTGATAATAATATAAACCTGAATTTTGGAAAATTCATTGAGAAGAGCTTCCGACTTTGGTCCAGGTATTTCAGTAAGTGTACACGGTTTTGCAGGTTCCCCAGGTAACGGTGCCTTTGGCATATGATGAAGTTCTACACATTATTTATCACGTATAACACATTAAACTAATACTAACACATTAAACTTATATTAAGTGTAATATATTTTATTTCTCTGTAATATAGTTACTTTTCGTACTTACGACGAGATTTTGCACCTTTTTGAACAAAATATAGAATACTTTTGTACAACATATTGAAATTTTTGTATTTATTAAACAGTGTTACTAATATAGAGTATTTATGAAATTTATTATATTATGTACAAATATTTTTGAAAGAAAGTTGAAAAATGATAAAAAATGTGTAATTCATATAAATGACATGTTTTTACTTTTGTTTCAAACCATGACAGAAGAATGTAAATAGTCTGTATAGTATTACTTGAACTTTAAAATATTAAAGTCTAAATGATAATACAAATAATGATATTAGTATTAAAGCAATTCAAAGTTACGTATTTCTAATATTATTACTTTATACAAGAATTATTGTTTTCTGCAGATAAAACTAAAAATTAATTATTAAACGGTATTAATATGCTTTTTTTAAGTTTCATGAAGCCACTGTCATACAGCAGTTTATTATTTTTTAAGCAATTACAAATTAAAAAAGGTAAATTAACATACTATACTTTCCTCTAACTTATATTTATAGTGCAATGAAAACAACAAAGTTTATGATTAAAATTAGTACAAATATATTTATTATAAACTAGTAATATTAGATTAGATGGATATAGTTATGTAATCACACTTTGTTGCTTTTTTCTTAATAGAAATAAACACCTTGTTACATGATTAATAAGCGGGTAAAGTGAAATAGAGCAGCGCAAAACGTATATGGCCGCAATTTCTTCACCCAGTTTTTACACTTCAGTAGCATGCCAAAAACTTACACGATTAATATCTAATACATGTCTTAAGGTATTTCTACAATTTTTTACAGAAAAAATTTTTACCCCAATACATTGCCAAGTATCGCTCTTATGTAAGAAAAAAATATGCGACAAAATAATTACATTCTGGTCAAGTTTGTTTTAACGTATTCAAAATTTTAAGAACATTCAACAATTTTACACGATTTCTTGTATCTCGGAAATGATATTGGGAGATTAACTCTTTCAGATACAATTTTATTCTTCAGTTTGTCTCAGAAGATAAATAAACCTAATAAGCAGCATTACATACTTCCAATTGGCATACATTCCGCTCTCATTAATGCATACTGTGAATACTTATTAATACTTATTAATTTTCATTTATAAGTCTTTACAATGTCAAATAATGTTCCGAGGCAAAGCAGAAGAATATTAAAGAATTCGATCTCAAAGAGTAAATCTATTGAGGCATATTTTTCAAAATAAAATTTTCTTCAAAATCTCTGTTTAATTCTTTGCGATATATATATATATATGAATCAAAGTAACTTAGAGATATAAGTTTTAAAGATAGAATACAAGAAAGAATTGGGTAGACAAAGATAAAAATTTATAACATTTGAGTTATAACATTTATCTAAACTATAGAGATATCGACACACTTTCAAATTATATTATAATAGACATAAAAAAGAGCCTCGATAAATTAATAATAATAAAGCTAATATGATGCAAATCTGGGTAAAGTAACGAACTGTATGTATTCTGTAACTATAATCGAAAGTCGAAGGTAAAAAACAGATCAATGCCAGGTCTTATGAACTTTGAATTAAAAATACTGTACAAGCATCATCCTGGCAAAAATGTACAACCTGCTTTGAGCGATCTGCTTTTTTTTCACTTAAACAAATGATTGACGATCATCAAGACGTATCTTGAACTTGTGAAACATCATATTAATGTTCATATGCAAAGTCATTAATTCTTAATGTCAGAGAACAGATTTCCATCTAGAAATACTATTTAGACCTTCACAGAATATATCTGTATGTAATTTAATTTCATAAAAGTTTTTGGGTTCTCCAACATTTAAGAATTACGTATTTATTTTCACTTTTCATTTTACTAGTGAAATCTTAGAAACAGCATTTTCTTATTTCTTTTTATATGAGTATGTACGTGTGTATATATATATATATTTTTTTTTCTTATTTGTTCTTGTAGATGTTCGCGAAATAATATTGCCTTTTCGTATCCTATAAGAATACAGAAACTGAACATACTTGTACATATACTATATAGTATGGTTTAATAATTTTCACAAATGGTTATTAATAGCTAAAATATAAACAATATTTTCATTAAATTCAATTTTTTGCATTTAAATGACTTCTTTTCCTTGTATTCTCATCATATGAGAACGATGATTCTAAAGTCTATTTTATAGACATTTCTACTTGGATATATACAGTAGCAGACATCCGCTTACACCTTATCAACTAACATCGTAAATGTTACTTATAAACAATTTTATAGAAAATTTATATGATAAAACAACATAATAATAATAATTACTTGTGAGCACAATAAACAAATTTGTACAATTTATTATGCGCTGACTATGTCTATAATGAGAAAAAACTTGTTTTACTTTTTATTAGGTGAAACAATGACAGCGATTGGACCATTTTCTTCTTTATTAAATGATAATGAACTTTCTAATGAATTTCTTTTCATTTTCTTCTTATTTTTTATATTTTCGCAAAACACATTGTATTGGGTTACTAAAAATTCACCATTCTAAACGCTCAGTGGCACTGATTTGATATATTTATAATTATTCTTGTAACATGCATAATTACACGTATTTCATAAGTGTACATAAATAATGACGCTTGTGAAGAGCGTAATGAATTCTGAACCACAACTTATAATGATCAATAAAAAGCTTTTTTCATTTTTTTCATATACAAAATACAATAAATAAACATGTATTGCACATTTTAGTCAATATACATTATTCCTTATTTTATAGAGTATGAATTTCCTTGATTCACATTTGAGTTGATACCTTCTTAGCATTTCTAGTAAATATTTACCGTTTCATTTTGTTTAAGAAATGTATACAAGCACCATTTAAGAAACTATTTTATTGTCATATATAAATAAACAATGAAAATTACAAATAATATATTATTATATATATATATATATATAATTATATATACAGGGTGTATCGTAACTTGTGGGACCCACTTCGGGAGCTGATTGTACGCCTAAAAATAATGAAAAAGAGTTATATAAATATATGTTCTATCTGTCTTCGTTTATGAGATATAATGAATTTTCTGTTTTAATTACTTTTACAAAAGATGCTCAAAATGACCACCTTGCATTTGAAGACAAGCCTGTCTTGTCATTGATCTGGTTACTCTCTCTATCATTTCTGATACCTTCTCCTATTCCCACACGTGCAGGCTTGTCTTCATGTGCAAAGTGGTCATTTTGAGCATCTTTTGTAAAAGTAATTAAAACAGAAAATTCATTATATCTCATAAACGAAGACAGATAGGACATATATTTATATGACTCTTTTTCATTATTAGGCGTACAATCAGCTCCCGAAGTGGGTCCCACAAGTTACGATATAGCCTGTATAATATATCAATATTATTCCTAATTTAAACGTATTTTATAGTCTTACAATAAATGATGCTTTTGATGTAATAAAGAAACTCGTTGAATAACTGTTAGTGTTACTGTACCTAAACAAGATTTTTTTTAAAGATAAAATATTACAAGTTTCGGTTCAAAATTCATTGTACGATTCAAATAGAACTTGTTTTTGAGAAAGCAAATGAAATGTTCACACAATTCTAATAAATAGTGAACTTATACAACCTACTCTTATATGTTTATGGCTACTTTGAATGTTTCTTTTCTACTGGCACAGATTATTTCTGTTGTTACACAAGTTAAACCGTTGATGATTAGCACTTCCACTCGTTTATAGTTACAGTTTTTCTGTTTTTTTTTTTTTTCTTTATTTGATTGCTTACTTTCCTTCAGAGAATTTTTCTCTCAAACTTTTGATCTTGTGAACAAAATAAGTTTCTAAGGATTCTGCACACTTAAAGAAAGGTGATTCCTTCGGATTATAATAACGACAATTGTCAAATATCTTTGTCATATCTCCAATAAATTCACTTAACTTCTTGTAAGATCTATCATTTATCCTCAATTCTATAGTTTGTAGATCTGCAAATACAATTAATAGAAACAACATTGAATTTTTAATTCAGCAAAAATTAGACAGTTATCATTATTAGATAAAATTTTAATAACATTTACCCATCGGTTCCTTTATAACTTTATAATAGTCTGGTGCTTCATTCGGATCTACTGGTTCCATAAATGGCCAAGCACTCTTATGTGCCTAAATATTCAAATTTTTGATATCGATAATTATAAAAAAAATATTACAATTTTTATTATTATTTGATATTATCTTACCTGTATTTGTTTAATTAATTTCTTCAAAAGATCGAGGTCCTTTGCATTAAGATTTTTCATATTAGCAAAATTAACAGAAGAGTTTCGTTGACAATTTGGACAAACATATTCATCAATATTATCTGCTTCCGATTGTAGAATACCGACACACCGACCATGGAACCAATCTTGACATTTGTCGCAACAAATATAAAATCTGCAGAAATAAGAATGTTAAAATAAGATTGACATAAAACATAAAATAACAGATACTTTGATACAAAATAAGTCAATGTAATAAATAGATTAAATAAATCAACATCATTACGTACTGAGATTCATCATAAGGCTGTTTACATAGACAATATAACTCCTGTGTATCTCTTGCATGTCTACATTCTGTACAAACAAACTCTGAAAGTGTTTTACACATTTCTTCTGTAATTCCAACACAATCTCCATGGAACCAGTTGTTACAAAGATCACATCCCACGTAAAATCTAAATCAACATAATAGTTTATAATCATTAAATAAATGTTACGAATAAAAAATGTTTTTATAATCCTTACTTCGTTTCATCATATGGTGTTCTACATAAACAATATAATTTCTCTTTTTTGATTTTATTCGTGGCGGCAGCAGTTGAAGCACCCGGTGGTGTAGTATTATTTCCTTGAGCTTTATACTTCTTTGGCCTTCCACCTCTATTAGGCGGACTAACTTGCTGAGCCATTTGAGCATTTGCTTTACGTTTCGCACTTCCTACTTTTACCTCATCTTGTTTGTGCCTTTCAGCCTTGGTTCTCGAAGCTAATTCTGCCG